ACCGGAGCCGTGTTTCGTTTAGAAAGAACAAAAAAAAAAAAAAAAAAAAAAAAAGAAACAAAACAAAACCAAAAAACCAGGTGTTTGGCATCCCAGTGCCTTCCAGCCTCTGAAGATGGGTTGGGGGAATGCAGTCGTCTCTGCCTCTGCAGCAACTCCATAAGCATCACTTCAAACTGTAACACAAAGCCCTGCAGAGCTGCAAAAGCTGGCAATCATGCAAGCTCCCACAGCAGGACCAAGTTCAGCTTATTTTCAAAATAACCCTGGCTCTCCTCTGGAAAAAAACAGGGGAAAGAAGATTGTTACATGACAGCCCCCATTAAAGCTACAAATGCCTCCATGAGCCTATGCCTATAGGTCCAGACAAGAATTTAATATCTTTTTACCAAAGTCTGCTCAGCAGAAAGCTCTACCAACACAGACACTTCACACCACTGCAAGCTGAGCTATCACCTTGCTGCTGGTCCCTACCTCCTGTGGACTGGGAAAGTGCTAAAAAACATAGGATTTCTTGCAGGAGTGCAGAAAACCGTGCATGCCCAGGATCTTGCAAGTTCACAAAGTTTAGTTACCTTCTGGACTCTTATCTTTGGAGTAGAGTTACCTGGCAGGGACAACACTGTGATGAGAAACAAGCAACCTAATTTCAGCTCACCTGAGAAAGCTATCATGCCAGACTACATCACACCATCAACCAATTAGGTAGCCTATTCCCTTCCACAAGCAGATCCTGAAATCCTGGAGAGTTAAAAGAAAAATACTGGAAGAAGATAAAAAAGGGCCAGAAGAATCATATTCAATGACATGCACCAAAAAAAAAAAAAAAGCCAGCTAAAAACCATACCAAAGGATGACTTCTATTTCAAAGTCTTCTCTATCCAGAACCTTTCCCTGAGAAGAGCTTTGTAAACAGATCCCGTCTCTAAGGAACCACGGCATTAAATGACAGAAATATTTGTATTAGAGAAGATGACAAAAATATGCATCTGAAACCACTACAGTTTATTTTTCCCACTTTCTAATTCACCCATCTCATGCATTTTAAACCTTGTATTGACTGCAAATGGCAATACAGCTTCCATTCCTACTACAGCCTGCCACAGCCATTCTGTGTCCCATTTGTCCAAGTCAGAAATTATCTTTTCATTTGTAAACAACCGCCTTTTACACTCTGCTTTCAGTACAGAAGACAAATTAGAGTTAGCCTGCCTCCTACATGCTCACAATCAGCCACAGAAAACCCACTGCTGGAAGCGGAGCGCAGCTCCGACTAGGGCACACAATGGGGCCCCTTCATCCCCCACAGTGGTTCCTCAGTGCTGGTCACAGCAGTAGCAGCTACAAAGCCACATATCCATCCAGAGAAGCATTACATGCAGACAACACACAGGAGGTACCCACAAACAAGACGATCCACTGAATTTCCTATCTTCTAACTCCACAGGAGAGGAAAAGAAAAAAAAAAGTCACAGCTGATTATGAATGTGTACGAGAGGCAGGAAAAAGCTCAAACTGTAAAGCTATTGCGCTTCAAGCCATTTAGTGTGGTATATGCCTGGTTCATGTGGTCCGAGGGACAAGTCAAGCATTTCCTCCTCAGGTCCACGCCTACGCTGACCCTGCTGCTGGCAGGCAAACACAGTAACCGTGCTGGAGCTGCCTCGTCACCAGAGACAGCATCAGGTCTCTTAACACCTGCTTTTATAAGCTCACTGCTGTCATGATTTCGAGCTATTGTCAGCACAGAGATAACATTAATGACTCCACAGCTAGGGAGGGAGTCTTCAAAGTAATTGGCCTAAATAAGCAGTCAAATTACTACCGACTTATCTGTAGCAGCAACACCCACACTATTTAAATACTAAGTTGTATTTAACATGCGCTCTGTTTGCAAGCCACATATGTGCTTGTTCTAAAGCACAGCTCTCCAGGACACTATATAGTTACTAAGGCAGATTTAAATCGAACAAGAGAGGCATTTTGCTTGCTTAAAAACATGCTGCCTGCGCGTGCATGGGTACCTTGGCTGTCCCTTCTGAGGCTAGCAGCAGCCCTCCCTTCCCTTTACATATCAGCAGATAGCTGGGTTCAGGAAGGACGCTGGGAAGCTCTCCTGTCCCACCTCCTGCTCAGAGCACCCGGGTCCAGGAGCTGCAGCAGGTGCTCAGTGGCCACCCGGGACCTGGCAGCTCAGAGACAGCCACGGCCTCCAGACGGCACCAGCAACGAGGATCTGTGCAAGGGGAGCATCGGTCAAGAAGCATCACCAATGATCAGCGAACAGGCGTCCATCTGCACCCACCGGGCAGGTCACGCCATTGCACACTCCCATCCCAGAGTCCTGGGGAATACTCTGCAAACAGTTTGCTTTTTCCTCTGCATTTGCAACACAGACCACAGGGTTTATGCGGATGACCCAGTTCAATAACCACTGAGAAAGTCTTTCTTCCACTTTTAACAAGCTAGAGATGAAACATGGCCTTAAAACCCCATGTTTGCATTGGAAGCAAAGCCTTTGGAGAATCCCCAAGCCACTGCTCTGCCCAAGGTAGCATAAGCCAAATTTAAATCACTCCACGCAGATAATTTTCCAACCTTTTAACTGGGTTCTCAAAGGCTCAGGAACCCAACAGTTAATCTATCTTATACCTAACCTTGCATCTAAAGAAGGTCCCCTAATGTTTAAACTAAATCTTTCCTTTTTTGCAATTTAAATCAGAAGCTATTTCTGCTATCCACAATGGGCACGGAGACCATTTATTAGCTCTCCTCTTGCAACCAACATTTGTCTACAGGACAGGCTGTAATCTGCCCTCTCCTCTGTAAACATGAGAAAGCAGACAGACATGTTTTTTCTTCTTTTTAATCCCCCCCTTTCTCTCACTCCAAATCTTCCCTTAGGTCATGTTTTCTAGACCTTGGGCAATGTTAGTTGCTCTCCTTTTGGATTCTCTTCAACTGACGCATACCTCATGGCCTTTCAGCTAAGCCTGCCACACCAGTACACACCAATTTCCTTCTGAATGCGACTTTCAGTATATTTTTACTGTCAACTGAGTGGTTTGTTTGGTAGGTTTTTTTGTTGTTGCTGTTTTTTGGGTTTGTTTTTTAAGATCAACTCCATTTGTGAAAAAGTGGCATTTTGTTCTCCATTGTGTATTCCCACAGCTGGCTATTCCCAAATCCCTTCTCTGTATTTGCCTTTACTCATACACCTCCTGTTCGTTCCAGCCCAGCTCTCTCTTACCCTTTGAGATCACTCTGAATCCCAATTCCACTTTGCAAAGCCTTGTCACCCTGTCCAGCCTAGACCACAAAGCACATCTATTAGCAAACAATTAGCCTTACCCATACCATTAATGAAAAACATTGACCTGGGACAGAGATTGCACACCTCAACTGACAAATGCTGCTAGGCAAGAGAAAGCTATTGGTTAAGTACCACTTTCTACGTGCTGCTTTTTACCAGGTAGGGTCCGTATATCAAAATAGTTTCATTTAGACTCGAGGTCCCTGCCTTATCTGGAGGCTGCCAAAAGCTGTACTTAAGCAAAGAATTATCACAACCACAAGTTCTCCCTGATTGACAAAAGCTCTTACACTCTCATAGAAGGAAATTATCAGAACCAAACCATGCCAAACAAAATTCATGTTGCCTATCACTTACCACCTTGTTATGTTCCAGACACTTGCTTATTTGCCCTTATTTCTTCTGAAACTGCAGATAAACTCAAGTAGTTCCTAGACTTATATTTTCCCTTATATTTTTTTAAAGGCCTGCTGCAGTTTCCAACAAGTGCACCCATCCTCCCCACACGCTCTTACAGAAGTATTAATGGTTTGGCAGTTGTTTGGCAGTTCTCTAAGAGAACATCCAGCTTCTTACCATGCTGTCTCAGATGTTAATCATGACCAGAAAGGCTGCACCATTAAACTTGTGAATGAATATTTAAGGAAGGGAGGAAAGAATTAAAAAACAGCATCAAGCATTTCAATTCCCTACCTGAGCAGGGTTTGTTTCCAGGATTTTCTTTAAATCTTTCTAGTTATCTGAACGGACTCCACATACATGGTACTCTAACGCAGTACTTTTCTACTTTGTATCACAGTTAACTGGGAACTAGCTCAAAGCCACCCTCTCCACTGACCCCAGTGAGCACAGGGGCAGCCCATCTCTTCCAGTAACTTGGGGGAGACTGCTACAGTCAAAAACAAGCATCAGCTTCCCTCTTCATGGCATTTACACCACTGTCTAAAGTCTGCCAGGTAGATCTCTATTCCAGACCACAGTGAACATTTCTGCCTCTAACAAACAGGCTGCACACTCCTCCCTTGAGATCTAGTCCTTGACAGATGGTGATATTTCCTTATAAATTGACGCAAATTTCTTTCAATGTTTTCAGAAGCCCACCTGAATTATCTCCTTTGCTTTCTGCACTAAGAGAAAGCCCATAGAAGAGAGAGTTTTGCAACTTTTGGATGCTTTCTGCTTAAAATGGCAGTGACTGCAGTCATCTCAGGGGAACCACGAGTTCCTTTCGCTCCCAGATTTTTCACTAGGGTATCCAATCTCATATACAAGTTAGAGAAAGCTTCAAACCTTTTAGCATGCCGGAGGATCTCAACCAGCTGCACCCATCACACTAGAGTCACTTCAGAGATGACCATGCTTAGAAGGAGAGGTTGCCCATTACCTTCACCAGAAAGACTCCTACAGACTTCACTAAACTTCGAATTAGTGAGATCCTCCAGCACATTTTCCACTAAGTTCTCCTTCCCTAGGCCTCGGTACTTGCACAAGGTCTGTAAAATCTCCCTCTCCCAAGTTTTTCTAAGGCTCCCAACTGTTTTATTTTCCCCAGTGAAGCGAAGAGAGAAGTGAAAGGCACCAATCAGGGGTAAAAGGAGATAAAGCAGCGGAGCAGATACTGCTCTCGTGAATCTTCTCAAAACCAGTTTGCTTCAATGGCAGAAGCACTTCTACCACATGCTGAACACAGCACCGTATCTGTAACATTCTCTCTTTGTGCAAGAGAGAAGCAGATGTTCAAATGCCTTCTGCAGTCTATTGTCTGGAAATGGTATGAGCCCATTTTTCTTTACAGCCCCATCAGGGTTCCTTAATAACATGGTGTGCTGAAACTGTTATTTCTACCATCACCACCCCCCGCTGTTATTTGGTTGCATCATTCCCACGTGACTGCTTCCATCGCGCTCTTTTATTGCGATTGATTACCCATTATATCTGCAGTCACTGAACGCCTCTCCATCTTCACAGAGCAGCTTCTGAGCTGTATTTCCCAAAGTCCCCAGAACCTACCGAAACATCACTTTTTGCTTCAGTCGTAGGTCCCACTGATCAGCTGGCATTTAACCAGAGGGAATAGCACAATACTACACCTATCTACGACCTCCCCAGATACTCTGCGGAGGACAAAGATAATTTGTTCCTCATTGTGGCTCATGTCTGCATCCTAGAACATAAGACTGCAGAGGGCTTACTGCTCCTTGTAAAGCCCATAATAGAAGTTTGCTGGCATTGAATGCACAGTTACAGATATTACTAAATATCCAGAAACACTTTTTTTTCCCCCTAAAGCTCTTAAATGATCAAGGCTTGGGAGTTTTAAAGAATGACTATTTCAATTAACAGTGCCATTCTTTATCAGAACAGTTGTACCAACAAAAGCTGTAATGTAGGTTTTGCTAGCATAGTCCTGCATGGGAAAAGGAAAACCAGCTCTATTGGTGTCCAAAACACTTGTATCACATGAGTACACACATGTGTACCATGGATCAGTAGAGCTGAACTCCATGGGGTACCCTTTACCTACCTAGTACAAAAGGGTGTATCACAAAGCCTATGTAAAGGACACCATCCCAGGTCAGGATACCTTGTACACTCTATCAGCAAAGCACTCCTACAGTGGATGTAGCCACACCTGTAAATCTGGATTTTGTGTGAATACAGCAAACTTAGGCCAGGTGAGATGCATTTTTAGACACAGTTTGCCAGTACAAGAGGATCACCACACAGTCTGCAGGATCACATCTCTACCACCCTGACTCACAGAGCTACACCAAAAGAAATCTAACATTTTCAAAAGCGTTATCTGTAGTCTAGACAAATCCACAGGGTGTCTGGCAGTCTAGAAGCAAGTTGATAGCTAACAGTGACTTATTCTTAAGAGAGACTGTAAATACTGAATTATAGCAAGCCTGTGTCCCTTAATATTATGAGTTCCTATAGATAATTTATGCTGCTCTTCCTAAGCCCAGCCATGCATTTTTATTTTCTCATGCATCACACCAATGCTGACAGTAAATCTCTATAATATCTAGTCCTCCCTCCATAATAGAAGAACTCATTAATATGCCCCAGCTGCTTTAGGACACTTCCACATGAATTTATGAATATTCAATTTCCATCCAGTACTCAGCTTCTTTGTGTCCAGCCACTGCTCTTTTGAAGAGAGGCTGCCAAAGATCTCATAATGCTTTCATTAGCTTTAAGCCCTCATATTATGAAATAAGCAATATGTTTAATATCAATAAATCAGAGCTCTGGGAACAGCCTCAGCTTCCAAAAGCCAGTGGCAGTTGGAGTTGCTCGGCATCTTGCCCGATAAACTTGCAAATACAAACTTTGTCTTGCAGCAAGGCCTTTCACACCACAGAAAACTTGCTCAGAGCAGTGCTTGTCGCCTCATCACAAGACACCTGTTGTCGCCACACTGGAAAGAGACTTCTTGCAAAGTAGAACACACCTTCCAGGGAAAAACTTGCAGGTGTGGGCAAATTTTCAGCTGTGATGAAAACCAGCCTGGTAGCAGGAAAACAAATCACCAAGGACAAATGCAAGAGAAGATATCCTCAACTGGTATGAACAGCCACACACCCCAGACGAGGGAAAGGAAAGCCTTTAGGGACAGCTCAACATTACAGGGCGATCAACGCGTTATTCCCCTTCTCAAAGCTGGAGAAACCAAGACAGGGCAAGCACTCAAGCCCTGCTGCCCCACAACAGGATCTGGGCAGCTAAGCATGCTCCTAAGCTCCACTACTCCTAGCACTCCCGTCCATCAGGCCAAGGAGCAAAGCAGCACAGGTCTTAGGACTTAACACCGTGGAAGTCCAGCGTACACCAGGTGCAAGTAAGCTGGCAAGAGCTGCCCTGAGGGGTTGAACCATTTCCAGAGGCACTCTCCTTAACTGTTGCCACCACATACCAAGTCACTCACAAAAGTCCTAATAGCAACAAGACAAGAAGTCAGACACAAGTGCCCAAGAAAACACTAAGGCAGGTAAACAGAGGAAAAGGCACCACTTAGGAGAGAATCCAAAGCCATGGATGCATCACTAGCTGCAAGCACTGTATTGGTTCCCTTCCAGGAAAGAGTACCATCCTCATAAGCCAGGCTTTCATGCAGCCCAGGAGGACGCCAACCTTTCAAGTGGCGAGTGCTGAGCACAAATCATTTTCATCCTCCACTTCCCTGGAAAAAAGTAATGGGACAAATTTAAAAATGACTGACCAGCCTGAAAATCGGTTTAAGCTTCTGTAAACCCATCTATCATTCAAGGCACAAGATTTCTTCTAAACTAGTTCCACCGGTGCCGGTGAACATTACCCAGAGAAAGGAAGTGGGAAAGACTGCTGTCAGCAAGATGAAAACCTGAAGTGCAGAGCTGGGATGAGAACTGGAATTTACAGTGACAGACCATTAGGTTAATGACAGACAGATGGGGAGAGCTAGAGAGAGACAGGCCAGTCTACAGAAGTAATTATCTTCTGCTTATCTAAATTTCACCCTAAAATAAAAGCATAGCATTGTCAACATCACTTCCTGCCCTAACCAGCTAATTTTCTGTGTCCTATTAAAGAGCTGTCCTAAGTATGACGCAGTTCTAACATGCAAGGGATCCCAGCTCGCTGTTGCCAGGCTCCCTGCACACATGTTCATACTTGTATTGTACAACTCATCACCAACCAGCACACAAGTCCACCATGTGGAAGGAACGGCAAGATGGGCGGCAATGGGAGAAGCAAGGCCATGACTTAAAACTGTCTGTTGTGATCCTCCAGGAGAAAGTATCTACCTGTGACGACGTCAAAATTCCTGCAGCGTTTTGCACAGTTGATCTCTTCCTGCCATCAGCAAAGTGCAACCAGAATATCAAGACTTACCATAGTTTCCATAAAATCAGCCCAGCCCTTCCAACCCAACACAAACAAGTGAGAACTGAGAGTTTTCCCAGCCCGGTGCGTTCAGCTTTGGCCTGAAGCTATGCAGCTCCCACGCGGCTGCTGAGCAAGACCAGCCCTTCCACTCGTTCGCTCTCGATGGGTCCATTTGCCACCTGGCAGTAAGCTGGGACCCTCCTTGCAAAGGCAGCAGTATACACAGCTTTGGCCCTGCCAGAGGAACTGTGGCATGAAGGAGACAGCCTCCCCATGCCATGGTGCTACAGTGCTTAGATGCCCCAGGTGATCAGCTGGCATGATGTGGGACAAGGGCACTAGACCTGCCAGAGACACTTACCCACTCAGAGGTCTGGTTTTTCTAATCTCGAAGAACTGTGTTCCCGTGTGATTGTATCTGAATTTTGTCTGCTAAAGGAAAGTAACTTGAACAGTCAAACAATAAAGTAACAATGCTCAAAAGGTGAATTTCAGTTCTGATTTCCTGTTGAAACATAAAACAAGCAGTAAAAGCCATTGACTCTCAACAGAGATGAAACCCTGGCATGTGAAATAAACCAATTTTTTCACTTGTCTTTTTATATGACATATTAACCAGCATTAGGTGGAAATTCAAGCAAAAAGGTTGTTTATCTAAAGCAGCACTTAAATTTGGCATTTGAGGGTTACAAATTCACTGTTCCTCTAAGTCCCACTCACTATTACGTTACAAGTTTGGAAAAAAAGCTCCCATTTGGGCAAGAGAAAGATTTTATAGTCTAGCCAAACCAACCAACATCATTCAGAGTTTGAAAGAACTTACTTCCTTTGTTTTTAACTCAGCCAGCCACACAGCTCACATATGACCTGTAAACCAAAAGCACGGCAAGTGCACCCATTTACATCTAGCAAATACAAATCATTCTCTAAAATACAACACACTAGAAACTGAAAGAGCCAGCTAAGTGCAACTCAAGAACATTAGTTAACGCTATGAGCATAGGAGAAAAATTCACCACAGAGGGTGCTGACGGACGGTTACCCACCAACCAAAACTCAGCACCACTTGCTTGTGCAAGCTACCATGCAGCAGCATCTCTAAAAGCAGCTTCTTCCCTGCTCCTTGAGCATAGCTGTTCCAAGCAGTAAATCAGATCAAGAAACCGATCTGTCCAGTAAAACCAACAAAAAACCACCACAACAACAAAAATAAAAACCCACACCATCCACTTACTTTTGCTAGGTTATTTTCCCAGTTGAATCTGTTCCCCAGCCTAGTTCCCAACACAGTCATGAGAACATTCACAGCAGCACAACTGTGGTGGTGATACAAGGACAGAAACAGGTGACCCCACGGAGCCAAAGGGTACCTTGCAAAGCATAAATAGCACAGCTGCTGGCTGTATAACCATGGTCTAAATAAAAACGCCAGCTCACACCAGGATGTTCTGAACTGACTTCAGAGTTCTCTGGAAATGAGGCTTTGCTACCCTCCTGCCTTCAAAACCTAATTCATGAGCCCCTTTCAGAGTGCTCTGAATAACGCATACAGCCTCTTTTAGCCTACAAAGGAAGCCCAGACCCTGTTCCCCAGCCCACACTGAAGCTTCTCTGAACACAGATCCAAACCCTGTGCCTAAGGCCTGCCCCTGCTATGTAGCATAGTACAGGATTTCAAGACTGCTGAGAGAAAAGAAGATATCGTTTTTGGAGCTCTGTGTGATATAGTCTCCTCTCCAGCACAGCGCCACCGAGCAGCAAGCTTCTCGTCCTGCCCAAGGGGCTGACATGTAGAAGAGAAATGTGCCGTCCCCCCGGCAGAGGAGGCTGGGGCCAGCCTCCCTCTCCACAGCAGCTGCTGCGGCTCCAACCCCTGCTGCCACCTTGATCCCAGCCACTACTCCCCAGCAGGCTAACCGCGCCTGCTATTTTTGGATGCTCTTCCAGCTGCCACCCATATCCTTTCTTAATCCTTACCAGGAATTTACAATCATTCCTCATCCCCACTGCTTCCCCACACACAGACATACACACACACAAGAAGGGAGAGTTCAGAAAAAAAGACGACAGAGAGAAGAGCAACCATCTCCTCCAACATTGTCTGTCAGCAATGGAAACAGTCAGGTATTAGGCACCGGGCAGCGATAGGGAGACTGGATAGAGACGTACATCTCTGATGAGCCCCCCAAGCAAGGTGGGACACCTGAAAGGAGGGATTCCTTTGATCAGTTCCTGTGCTACTGGTAAGCAGTGGAGTCAGGACAGCTGCTTGTGCCCCCCACCCCAATGACAAGCACCCCCTGCTAGCTGAGCATGTAGGCAGTCCTCAGGGAGCCCACAGGGCCTGTCACGGCAGAGGGAGAAAGGGTTTGCCACAATACTGTCTCTCCCTTAGTTGCTTTACAGGATGCCACATTATTTCTCCAGGCATCACGATCTGATCATAATATTCTCATAAACCAGCTTCAAAATAAGCATTTCTACTCCCACCAATGTCACTTCAGTTAAATTCTTCAGTATGATTTAAAGTTAATTACATCTCCCAGAGGATTGCTGTGACAAGCTCAGTGCTGCAGGTGCTATCACAAATCCTTAGAGGTGTCCTTTCACCCCTGAATGATCCCAAGCCCTCACAACCAGCTAGTGCTTCAGTAAAGCCCCTGTTAATTCATGCCAGGCACAAGCCAGCCTTCTCTCCAGAGACCGTGTGCTGGAGAAGGATACTGCAGCATCTTCATGTAGGTCTGTATTGCCTGAAGCCATTCTGGGATCGACATGGAGAGCTTGTAGTTTGGCACCGGCGGCACTGAAGGCTGGACACAAAAAAAAAAAAAGATAAAGAGGTTAGACAGTTACTGCTCCCTGCAGAGCAGATAAGTGATTTACTTGGGCAGTGGCATGTGCTTAGCACAACACAACGTGGCAGCACAGATGGCTCAAACCCCACGTGAACTCAAGCATCGGGCAAAGTCATCCCGCTGACAACGGGGGCTGCCCGTGCACCAGAGCCAGCCCCATCCCTGCTGGCGTGGAGAGGCCAGGGCAGGCCCCCGCCATAGCAAGCTGCTTGTCCCAGCCACCGACATCACTCAAACACTGCCCTATGTGGGCAGGCGGTCCAGTGCAGAAGGTAAACGCTTCGCATTTTCCCGTTCTAGCACAGGGCAGTTTGGATGAGCAGAGTCCCAGTGCTGGCTCTGCTGTCCTCCCTGCCATGAGAAGCCACTTGAAGTCTAATTTTTGGTTTCCTCTACCATGTGAGAGAGATAAAAGGAGACAAGGACCTCAGGCTGCATAATTTCCCCTTTGCTGTGTGTCAGCAGCACACTTGCTGGACAGGGAATGATACCTAGAAGGCGACCTGGGACCCAGATATTTAATGATATTAAGACACTTAAAGATATAGGCTGGCACCGTAATGGGATTTTTCCAAAATCTCATAAGACATCTGCTTGTGCCTTAGCACTTTAAGAAGCCGAGCCCTCAATCCATATTTAATCCCCACAGCTATGGGCCTCCTGAGCCTGTAACCATGCAGGAAAGGGGCAGGGCCTTGTCCCAAGTCCCCTTATTTTAGAGGCAAGACTGCAAAACATGGGGTCAGCAGATGTTAAAGTGGGCAGGGTGGCTAAAAGAAGTTAGTACAATTCTCACAAACATAGCGGAGGAAACAGCTTATTTAAATGTTAATGCAGACCCAAATTCAGGAACCAGGAACTTGGGCAGCGTGACACAGTGCAAAGGAAAGCGCACGGCGTCTGTGGGCTCAGGACGTCGTTACGATAGTTTGAAGATCATAAAGTGAGTTATCACTGTTCTAAATACACTTCAAGCCAGCAATTACAGATAAGAAAAGCAAGTTCAGGCACACACTTTCCTCTCCAGTTCCCATCTCCACTGAGACAGAGGGACTGTGTTGTTTGCTTTCAGAGAGCGAGCACCGATAACCCCATCACAAGACAACCAAAACCCAACATTTACTACATGTAGCTAGTTACCACAGTAAAATAGTAAATACACCTCGGAGAAGGGAAAGAAACCCAAATTAGAGATTCCTACGCTACTAGCACACAGAAACATATTTTAAGTGGCAAGGAGACAGATGGCCAGGCCTCCAGCACGCTGCCGCCATCCCCAGCACCACATGGGAGACAACCATGCATACACAGGTTTTTTTCTCCAAACAAGTGGGAGTTACAAGCAAGGTTCATTAACGCTTCTTAACCACAATTTCCACACCTAACCTCTTCATTAGAGGCAATTTTTCAGTTTCACAAATTCCTTCTGCCCTCAGTCCCTTTGGTCTGGACAAATTATTCACCTGTGCCTCTCGGCATTAAGGCAGGCGTAGACTCAACACACCAGATGGGGCTCGAGTTTCAGGAGCAGCTGAAAGAGTGAGTTAAGGCAGGCCTGTCAAATCCTTCCAGGGG